GGACACAAATGGAAGGATGGTAGCCTGAGAACTGACATACCTATCAAAGCATTGAACCTGCATTTCAATGTCAACTTTACGATCGTATCACAGGTAGGATTCATTTCGTCGATTTTACTATTTTGTCACTAACACTACCCCAGGTTAACCCTCACATCAACCTGTTCTTCTTTAGTTCTAGAGGAACAGTGGGGCGACCAGTCACACACCGCAAGGGCCGTGGCTGGCGCGGCGGCTTCCTCGGCACTGCGATCGAACAATACATCAAATTAGACCTCAACAAATGGCTTCGAGTTCTTCGGCATTTAGAGCTCCTCCCACGACCTATGGGCCAAGATTGGAGCGAGATCTGGTTGCAAAAGTTCAGTGGCACCGTGACCATTTGGCCAAAAACCATCCCCTCCGATTTCATACACATTCTTTCCGATCCTAGTCCCGAAAGACTTGCCCGCATGATACATGTCGGCCAGCAAAGCGCTTTCTCCAAGATTAAATTTATCCAAAACCGGCTTAAGGTCGAGAATGCGATCATGAAAGGCCTCCAGGAATCCCGAAAGGGTGGACGCGCCCTCTCCCCGATTCTCTCTCGTCGAGTCCGAAATCGAGAAAATGAACATCCAGACTCTATGGTCGAGCGTCTAGATGAAAATCTTCCCGAGCGCGATGGATCTAGCTACAAGAGCGAGTCGCATTTCGGCGACTTGTCAGATAGCATTTCTCAATCAACCGGCTCATCACGTCCTCACACGCCAAGTTCCCGGCGGGGAAGTGTGATCGAGGAAATAAGACGCCAGTCTGCCGTTTTCTTTGACGATGCGGACTACTATCGGGACGGGGACGAAGACGCTGTGGTCATCTGAGAAACAGGCGGCTCGAGCGGCTCCAAAGTTTATGGCTCAGACTAGGGTCTTTCCGCTTCGGGGCACCCGCAGCCCTATCTCATCATGATACTTCCCGTTACTTTGGATATTTAATATCCTGTATGGCGGGCGGCTCTTATCGCTATTTGCGGACACTTTCGGACAATACATTTGCGTTTTTGTTTCCCACTCCCCCCCTTTCAGCATAGCACGGTGTCTTATATCTTATCGATGTGCATTTGATAGTTTCTGGCTTCGCCTGTTATTTCGTGTCCGTTGTCTTGATCGCATACTTGGTTTTTTCTTCTTTTTCTTATCAAAATGCGCTATGTATGTACATAGACAGCTTCAGGTGTATATTAAGGTGTGGAGGATACATATTCTAATCAAAGTGCCTCAAGGTACATTTGCCAAACTATAATAAAGTATCAAATACCACCATCTGCTAATATTCGGCTTGGCCGAGCGGGGGAATATCCAAAGTGACATCAGCCTCTATGTAGGTAGCTTCAAACGGTCTCTCAGCACTAGGGGTTTGAAATTTAGCTTTTTAAATTAACCAAATCTGTTTCAATATCTGTAAATCACGATGGACCCCACGCTAGTAACTCACAATGACTGTTTTGTTTTTCCAGTTTTTTTCATCGGTCATTTAGATGTAGATCGTCTATATATATTAAACCTACATATACATTTCCACCCCTGCATCGGGACAACACCCTAAACACTCCTGCACGGTTATATAGATACATATATACAAATCAATATACCTGCAAAATGAACGTGAACGTGGTTATAGACACAAGGAACAAACTTGATTGATCTGACATTATACAAGGTACTAGTCTTGCTTTGAAGTATCCATCATACATACATACATACATACATACATACATGAATCTAGATATTTTAACAAGCTCGTTCAAATAGCCTCGGAGCAAATAGAATCGAGTATAATAATATTTGGAATTGAATTGTTCACCAATTGCCCAGGGTTGATGCACCGATGCTCGATCTTTGCAGTATTTATCAACCGACACGGATGACCAAACAACATATCCACTGCATCAGTGGTCTAGTGGTTATGATGCTAGTCTTCCATGATTAGGAATTTCTTCCTTCTCAAGTTAACTGGCGAGGGGGGTTCGATTCCCTCCTGATGCATTCTTTTTTTTCATTAAAAATTTACAAGTGGGGCCTTTTGTTAATCTAACTTTCTTTTCACATCGGTTGGTTTTGCCTTTTTCTAGTTCAAAGGTGCAGAGATTGATAATAGTAACAGGGTTGATATTTTTGTACGTACATACAACATAGAGCTATATTTACGTACAATATTGAGGAAAGATAGTTCGATATGGAGGTTTAATCTTCGACTGATAACTAGCCATTTCTTTCAATGTAACCTTGTTAAATTAGTCTGCAAGCCCCCAAATTGAAAAATTGGGCTGGTTAACGTCACCATACTTGAAACGTAGATAAGCACTCACCAACCTCGTTTCGGATATATTAAGCGTAAGATAAGTAGCTCCAGGCCGGTAGAAGTTTGACGTACATGCTCGAAGTATATGTAACAAACTCAGACCTACATAGCTACCATCGTTCTCCTATATAAGGTTGCTGCTAATGCGCACTCGAATGAAGCTGGTATCATCTGCCTTAGAAAAGGAGTAACACTTCTCATGGTTCTCTATATATGTAGTCTATAGTGCAAATGATATTGACAGGAAATTTATTTCCATAGAACAAAATAAAACCCAAGCACGGCAGGACATCACTCTGTTCGTCGGATGCGAATGCCACCATGCCATCCAATCCATCCCTTCTCAGCCGGGCCACGAAGAAGACAAATAATTAACGCCGCTCCGATAAACGCCAGATTGACACTTCCCGACAGAATCCACCCCCCTTGACTGTAGAGACGATTCCCGACAGAGGTACCCATAAGCTGACCACAGAACACGCCCATCATGTATCCTGTATTAATCCGATTTCGCGCCTTCGGTGCAACACTATAGATTGAAACGCGATTGGCAATTTGACTCATCTGCAGACCGAAATCTTGGAGCGCAGCCTGGAGAATTGGTCCCGCGACAGTAAACGTGCCTGTATATGTACCGATGCTAACGCCGATGATCATGATGCCGAAATTGACGAGAATGGAGAACTGTGGCACGAATTTGTCGATCATGTAGCGTGAGAAGAATGGACCCAGGAACATGGGTGTGAGGCCTGCCAGAGAGAATAGTCCGATTGTCACGGTTGGGTAGTTGTAGGGATCGCCGGATAGGAGGAAGGTGAGTGTTGTCCAGAAACTGGTGAATGTGGCTGAAAGGAAGAATCCCATGAGTGTTGCCTGGACAAGGACTGGGGATTTCCAGTAGTATCCGATGATAGAATATAAGATCTTGAAGTAGGAGATGTTGGTGTTTGTTGATGGGTAGTCCGGCATGAACAGCCATAAAAGCGCGAAAATGAGGAATTGGAGGCCAAGTGATAGCCAATAGATATTTCGCCAGTATGAGTATTCCGCGACTATACCCGAGAGCAGGCGAGCGAAGAGAAGACCCAGGACGAGTCCCGAGGATACGATTGATAGGGCTGTTGCACGACGAGCTGGGGGGACGAGATCTCCGACGAGAGGGAGCATAACTTGCTGTATATATAATAAGATTTGTGTTTATGCCAGAGCATCGAACATGCTTGCTTGGAGCCACTTACTGGAGTAACAGTCGTGATCGAAGACAGATAACTTAGAACGAGGAACACCTCGAATGACTTGGTGATACAGACACCAATCCACAATGCCGCTGTAACAAGGGTCAACAGCAAAACAAAGTGCCTTCTCCGAACTAAGTCCCCAAGAGGACAAAGAAAGATTAATCCCGTCGCATATCCAGCCTGACTGCACGTCGGGATCAATGAAGCTCGCTCATGCGAGACGTCGAAGAATTGGGCAAGAATATCAAGAATGGGATGTGAATAGTATAGATTGGCAACCTGTACGACTGTATTAGCAACCATTATCGCGTACTCGATACTTTTATATTCCATACCGTGAAAGTTCCCGAGAATGCGAACAGGATATTCAAAGGTAAGCCGAATTTACTCGGATTCTCTGTATCCCATCGACATCGCGGCGGTGTCCATAAAACGACATCGACAAAGCGTCTCCAGTACTTGTGTTTTCCTATTGACTCTTCTGACGAGCTTTGAACGTTGACATCATGGGCTTTTTCATCTTCACCAAACTCCTGGACCGTCGGGGAATTGGAGTGTGCCGAGGTGATCGGCATTAGTTCTGCAGGACTTTCAATTGGAGAGTTGGAATGGTTTCCCACTCTTTGGGTGTTTTCTGCAGTCATTTGCTAGTGCTTGGGATCTTATGTGGCCGTATGTCCTTTTATATCTCAATGACTCGATGACATCAACGAGGCCGAAAGACTCATATGAGCATTAGGTTTAGGGGAGATTTATGCGAGATAGGGCCGGAACAGCTTGAAGAAAATTACCACTTCGACCTGCAGGCTAGGCGTTTTTGAGCCAGTAATAATCCAAAGTCGTAAGGCTTACATGTTAGGTGAGATGTTGATTAGCAAGAATTTCAATTTCACGCCATTTCCGCATGCGTTTCCGCACTGCCCCCCACATTCTTGCGGGTAGATCCGCTATGAATACCTATCCTCCCTATATATGTATCAATGTTTATACAGCGCAGTCTGCTATTAGGCCCAAGAGAAGATGAAAGGGCACCACCCACCTCTCAGCCTAGGTATAACGCACAAACACACCTTACAGAAGCCGAAGAAAAGCAAAGTGAACAACAAGTAAGTCTGGGCAATCACCTATTGGTGCTATGAATAGTTACGAGGTTAGCGCCCTATTTCCCGATTCGGTAGTGATCACCCACTAATGCCCAAGCTATTCCAAGCGATCAGGTATTTAGCAAAGACATTTCTCCATTTACTTTCTTTCCCAAGTGTGGGCTGTCAGATACTTGTTCAACTTTCTTCAAATTATTCACTCAGACACAAAAACCTTACAACAAATTTTTCGAGGCCTCATTTATTCTGGCTGTCCATCGATTTCCATGGATACACCGCAAATCAGCTTGCTACATGCACGGTGCAGTACGATAGCAAAATGCTTGAGATAGCCGAAAGGCTTGATGACCACAAACAACTCCCTGAGATCTTTCACGGGTTGGGCAGTGAACCAGAGAACCAGTGTCACTCGAAAAAGCTGACACACAATGACTATGCTGTCGGGTGGATCTGTGCATTGTTTGAAGAGCAGACTGCTGCCACTGCTATGTTAGACCAGGAGCATCCCGATCTCCCTACGCCGCCGGATGATCCGAACACGTACACCCTTGGGTCTATTGGGGAGCACAATGTCGTCATAGCTTGTCTACCAGAAGGAAGGATGGGTAATAATGTAGCGGCCACTTTTGCGACTCAGATGGCGCGCACTTTTCCATCCATCAGGATCCGCTTGATAGTAGGCATTGGTGGTGGCATCCCTTCCAAAGTCAAACTCGGAGATGTCGTGATCAGCATTCCTGTGGACCAGTATCCAGGAGTTGTTCAATGGGATCTTGGCAAAGCAGAAGGTGGCGGGAAATTCAGGCGTACCGGTGCTTTGAACAGCCCTCCAAGCGTACTTTTGACAGCCGCGGCCAAAGTAAGAACCAGGAACAGGCTCAAGAAACATACTTTTCTACCCCAATATCTAGAAGAGATGGGCAAAAATTGGCCAGATTTGGTGCCACAATACATTGAACCACCTTCTTCGGGGCTAGCCAATTCTCAGGAAGAAGTGAAAATGCCACGATCTGTCATTTATGTCATATGGGATATAATCCTGGCGCTTTTTGGCTACCTCTTGGGATGGCAAATCTTAGCCCCCGTGGATGGTGGTCGCGAGCTGGTCCGGTTGGCTCAGACCCCAAAGCAACAGGGAGCTGTTGAGGTGCATTGCGGTCTGATAGCCTCCGGCAACCAAGTCATTAAAGATGCCAAGGTTCGTGATGGTATCAATGAGCACCTCGGAGGAAAAGTCTTGTGTGTTGAGATGGAGGCAGCAGGGTTGATGAATGACTTCCCCTGCATTGTCATACGGGGAATTTGCAATTATGCCGATAAATGGAAAAATGACGAATGGCAGCCATATGCTGCAGCTGTGGCTGCGGCATGTGCGAAGGCCGTTCTGAAGTATGTGCAGCCAAGTCATGTCGCCGGGGAGCACCCGTTAAGAGATATCCTAAGCCAAGGTTAGTTTCAAACATTTGAATATACTATGTATCCTCTGATAAGGATGTTAATCGACCGTACTATTGGTAGAACAGAAGCTCAAGTTCAAAAATGAGCTCCAAATTTGAAAGAAAAGAAGACCTGGAACTTCTGAATTGGCTTTCACCAATCAATTGCGGTCATGAACAGAGCCACTTTATGAAAATGAAACAGTTAGGAACTGGCAAGTGGTTCTTATAGTCGGGCCCGTAAAAAAATTGGCGAAGCACTTCCAAGCAGACGTTATTTTGCTCAGGTATTCCAGGAGCAGGAAAAATAACCATGACCGCCATGGTTGTTGACGACCTTATTTTCAAAAGTCTACATCATTGTGGATGCGTTGGATGAAGCACAAGTACTGGATGGATGCATTTCAAGATTTCTGTCCGAAGTGTTCCAACTGCAACACACAACACACGTCAATTTCTTTGTTACATCAAGACCTATCCCATTGATTCAAAAGGAGTTCAAGGGAAACAGCTTGTAAATAAACTTGATAGTCTTGATTTTGAAGTTCCAATTCATATGATACACATTACAAAATGAAGTTCAGTTTGCAATAGACTGAAAAGCAGACCACTTCAGAAGCATGAACTGTTATCAAATGACAAGCCATTTTTCTGTAACAGCCTTCGCCGTCCCTGCATTGCCGCTGAGAACATGAATACACTGCAGAGCATAAGCAGCCTCGCGCGAGAAATCTTCAACGAAAAGCTGGCTAGTGGGTGATGAAGTCTCCTGGGGTTTGCCATCATCGCTCATAACCACATCAGCACCATCTGATGCAGATGTCGGTTTTTGAAGAGATTTTTGTTTGGCCTGTTCCTGAATCTGCTCGCCGAGTTTCAACACCCGGTCGTACCCTTCGATAGCAAGGTGGGCCAGACCAAGCGAGTGCCAAACACGAGCGAAATTGAATTCCATCTCCTGTTTTTCGGGAAGAAGAGTCCCCGGCTTCTCCCGAACCAGCCGGTATTCATGCATGAAGGAAAGTCCTTGCATGATGAGGTAGTGACGATTCTCAGATTGTCGTTTGAGAGAGTGGTGGATGAAGGAGAGTGCGATGGAGAGGAGAACGGCCGGGTTTTGGTCATCTATGGCGTATGCTCGGAAGAAATAGTTCAGCGCGGGGTAGAAACTGTTTCCGGAGTATAGCATGTGGCCATAGAGCACAAGAAGAGCGATGTCTAACGATTTCGCGGTGATGGGCTCACCGGCTTCATCCCGTGTGGATAGAGTGGCGCGCTCTTTCCAGACAGAATGCCGGATGGGTCGAGGGGTATCTTGTGGCATGGTAAAGTCTATGGCCTTGATTTGGCGAAGCATGAATTTCATGTTTCCGGAGGAATGGAAAAGGGATCGGTGAGGGTCGCCACATAGGTGACCCAGCATAGAGAAAAGTCGATAAGTGTCGGTGACAAACTGGTATTCTTTGATAAACCAGCGGGCTTCATTGGCCAATGTCTCTTCGTCTCGTGCGCGGAGAGCGCATGCTATTAAGTTGTTAGTAGATAATCGCCTTTGAATGAATTAAACGAACTCACTGAACCAGCAAACATGAATCAATCGCGACTTGGGCTTAGAGTGCAACCAGATGCTTGCAATCGCCGCAGAATCAAGGGTCTCATAAGCTTCTTCTGGCTCGCCTTGTTCTGCTACAAGCAGAGCATACTGCAGGAATATGTCAAGCCACTCATCAAATGGTATTCCATGGTAGTCAGTGGGAATGGCGCCCTGCAAGGGCTCCTCTGAGACATCTCCTATTTATAGCATTAGCATGGTGTATATTGTTGGATTGATAGGGGTTTCATACCCAAGGTTTCTTGAAGACGGCCCGCCATTTGCTGCATTTCATCCATCATTGTGCCGTTTTTGGTCTGGTTCTTGGATTTTGCACCAGTCGAATATCCCCTAAAAGCAATACTTCGATCCATCGGATAGAATGCCCGATTATTCCGGAAGTCTCGTAATAAAGCATCAGCAATGTCCAGCCAATCTTCAATGGCTACAGGGACACCGTCTTTCACTTGGGGATTCAACTCCAATAACTTGGAATACAAGAATTGAATATCATCGGTCCGAGTACCTTCGCCAGCTTGCACCCGTCCTTTGCCAGGAGCCAAAGGAGCCGCATTCATAAGTGTTGCTGCCGGTGTCGGTTTGGGCGCAATTGACCGGAGGGGTTCTGATCCAGCCATCTTGAACTCTATGGCAAGCTGCTCAAGTCTGGTGTCTTTTCTTCTTCCCCGGCTGCGATTTTCCTGCCGGCCGATCAGGACTGCCTCGCCAACATACTTCATAGCCTGTTCGCTCATCCCGAGACTTTCATAGAGCTTAGCTAGTAGTACTCTCGACTCCATATGACTAGCATCGTGTTCAGCGACGAGTAGATAGCAGCTTTCAGCATCTTCCATCTTGCCCAGCTGCATACAGCAATCAGCCATGGCCATGAAGAAGCTGATATCGGCGTGTTCAGCGGTCTGCTGGATGGGCGTATAGTATCGGAGTGCTTCCTCGAAGAGACCGCCTTGTTTTAAAGCATCTGCCACTTCCCTAAAAAGATCACCATAGTCGAAGATCCGGGCACCTTCGGAATCGTCTTCTGGGTTAAGCCATTCAAAGTGATGCTGATTTTATTTTGTCAGTACTCCTATTCAAGCATTATCATTATCCGGGATCAAACTCACCAATGCCTCGTCGTGATGCTTGTCGCCCAATTTCAGGCGGAAAACACCCATCTTTATACGTAGCTCTAGCGGAAGACCAAGCCCATACGACTCTCGAGGCCACTGACCCGGTAGAAAACCATCAGTTTTGATGCGCCGAGGCGAATCATCGGCGTCCCATTCTCTGTCGTCATCCTCGTGGCCGTCCCACACTGAGTCTTCTCCGCGACCTAGAAGCCAACGTGCAAGTATTTTCAAAGAGATGAGTCCTTCTTCGGGTTGATTGAGATAACCAAAAAGCTCAACATAGATATTGAGATCCGACCAAGTGAACTCAGAGTCCTCAGGGCTGAGAGATAGGTAGTGGTCAATGCTGTCCGCATAATAATCTGCGGCTTTTTGTACGTCATTGAGATCGATGTACGTCTCTGCAAGATGGCGCAGTGCTCTAGCACTGTGTGGGCAGTCCTTGAGTAGTCTCTCATACTCAGCTGCGGCTCGGCCATTGTGACCTAGTTCACGATAGATCGCTGCTCTCTGGAACCGAATGTTGGTGTTGGTGGGGCTGACCTCGAGGATGCGGCTGTAACAGTAAGCAACATCATGCAATGCGGACTGTCGATTCTCTCCGGCGCGATCCAAGATGAGCCGAGCAACTTTGATCCAGACACCGGGATCTTTTGGTCGTGTATGAGCTCCGTTGAATAGAGCTGCTAGGGCTTTATCATTTTCTCCTTGTGCGAGGAAGATTTCCGAGAGCAAAGAATGAGCAGCAAACATCTCAGGATTAATTTGAATCGCTTGCATCACTAGATCAATGGCTCGGTCGTAGTCTCCATCGATGAAGGCAGAGGTAGCCCCCGAATGAAGATGTTTAAATTCTGGACTGGGCTCTAGCGGTTTGCGTGGTCCTCTTTTGATGCCCTTTCCACCGCGAGCGCCATATCTTCCAGAAAAGCGTCCACCTCCACGACGGCGGCGCCTGCTGGCGCCTGAACGATCATCGTCATCATCCTCCGCTGGTTCGTCTTCCTCAGACTCACTAATGTTGTGTCAACTAAAGTCAGGCATGTGGTGTCTTAGCATACATACCTCTCGCTCTCGTCTCCGGATAGGGCAAAGTCCTCGTCCGACACGGACCCCTCCCCAGGCACGGGAGGATACGACACTGGGGGATACCCTTGACTATCATATTCATCCGGGTAGAAGTCATCAACCTCTTGCTCTTCTTCGACTTCGCCTTGGCCATAGTTAGGATCTTGAGGATATTGATTGATGCTTTGGGGTTGAGTTTGTGGGTTTTGGTCCCCAAACAAACGAGGATCAATCACCGAGGCGAGCATTTCCCCGACGTCAAAAGATTGATCATTTTGCCATGGATAATGAACAGTCTCATTGATATCCGGATATGCTGACTCTCCCTCTTGTGTTTCCTCATCCAGAGGAATCCCGTCCGGGTAATGTTGGGAACTCATGACCACTGATGGTTTGGTTCAAAGTTCAATAGAAAGTGTTTTCCACTATTGATAAAAGATATAGCTTAAGTCAATCATCAAAAATGTGGATCACTAAGGAGTTCATTATCAATCCAATTTAGTTGGAGTGCACTGAATCTAGGAAAGGGTTTCAGGTCTGGGCTCGGCAGATATTCATAGTAACTGTCTCCACCAGGGCTGAAGAAAATATTCAGATTTGCCCAATAGCAGAATTGCGAGGAAAGAAATGAAAATAGAAGAAAGACCAGAGTTAAAAAGCAGAGATATGGAGAAGTCAAGAAAAAGAATGTTGACCCTGAGGTTCTCCTCGGTGAACCCGTGATCTGCCTGAAACAGAAAAGCCTCTTCACCAAACTTCTTCAATCCCCAACTTCCCTCTTCCTCTTCCTCTCTCTCTCTCTCCACCTAACCTCTTCTCTTCCCCTCCCTTTTCCTTTCCTTTTCCTCTTTCTTTGGGACTCGGCTTGACTGTGTTTGACACACTATTGCTTCAAGTCTCAATTTCCTTTCGTTCCAGGCCTTAATTTTTCGATCTCAAATCTCCGAGGTGCAGCCCACTGGACTGGTCTGTGCCATCGTCTGAACGAGAGATCTGGATATTTTCAGCGTCATCTGATACCTTAGGATCTTAGCCTGGATCCTGGTTCCAAGGATTTTTGATTTTATTTGTTACGCAAACTCAGCAGGTCCTGCAGGTGTTTTGCAGTAATCATTTCCCCCACTGTATTTACTAGTCATCTTCCCAACACGTCGCCTTAAACCATGGCCAGTCATATCATTGGCAATCGCAACAGCACTCCTGAAGCATCAAATTCAACCCTCCG